CGAGAGTGCCGTTAGTTCCGGTTTCATTGACATCGTAAACAGTAGAAATACCGATTGGAGTATTTACGATGGTACTGTCCATCAATGTGGCCGATCCTGCTGCGCGCGCACTAGCACCGCCTGCTGACATATCGAGACCCACACCACAATTGTTGATATTGATGTCCTTGAAGGTCCAGAGCCAGGCCCAATTTAGGTAAATGGCCGTTTGGCAGTTGTTGAAGGTTAAGTTTCGTGAAGTAAACTGTTGACTGCCTAAGAAAGCACCATACTTGCCACCGTTGAATGTCAGGTCGGCCATGAAACCACCACTGCCATTATCCATGAAGATTCCTTGTTGGTTGTTACCTTCTCCACCATCAGTTCTCATGTTGAAAACAATGTTTTGTAATGATGTAGCTTGAGCAACTTGCCAATGAATACCACTACCAGTTGAGGCAGGCATGGCAGTCAAGTCGATGACAAAGTTTCTGATTTGACGGTAGAAGTTGTTCCTGGGGGTTTATTAGTGACCACGCTGACAGAAGAAATGCATTATGAAAACTCACTGATTGGTGAACCAGTTAAATTCAGGATCATATGGGTCTGCGTCGAGTAAAGCCATGCCAGCAAAGTTGGCAAGACCCTTGATCGTTGGGAGAGTAACAGCATCACCAACAAGTTGAGTAAAATATTGTTGTTTAATAGGAGCCGAGATAGCATATGTTCCAGGTCTATAAGTGAAGTTAGTAATGTACGAGAGAAGGCTCAGGCATCAAAAGGAAAGAAAAGTCCAAATGAACAGGGTAATGTTAAAACACAAGGTATATCGACTTACGGGAAGTAAACAAGAGCAGGGGTGACGGTAGTAGAGTCACAGCCTTTACCACAACGATTACCAGAGGAAATGGCAGAGTTGATGGCAGCGGTGTCATCAGTTACACCTTGATGTGAGTGTTAGTATGAATCATTTGAGAAGAGAAAATGATTGACTTACCATCACCAATAGCACCAAAGTCCTTAACATTTCGGAAGATTTTATATGAAGCATCACCAAATGGTGCAATACCTTGTCGTTGAATCTGCCAAGGTCAGAGATGATTTCCAAACAGTGAGAGAGATGAAGAAGGATGAATAAACTTACTGAAGCGAGCCAATAACTGCTGGAGGCAGCTGTTGTTGAAGCCACTGCATCAGTCGGCACAGGAGTAGGAGCACCAGAAACGATGAAGAAGAAGCGTAGAGCCAATAAAATGGAGATGATTGAGAAGGAAGCCATCTTGAAGTAGTACCAGCTGCTGCAGGATGTAGACGTCGATGTTGTATCTGTAAAAGAATGTAGTTTCTGCCAGAGGTAAAAAGTTCAATCAGTATTTATGTTGGTATTGTGTGGTGTTTGTAAGGCGGTCGTCAAAGATGAAGGATAAAATCCTGTCTCTCGTTTGTTTCTTGTCACTTTTATGGGAAAGAACGATGGTTCGACTTGATACCAGCATTCACTCGTAAAAGCAGCTTTGTTGTAATAATAAAAATCCAATCCAGATCTCATATAGAAGATAAGATTGAAAGACAATGTTGATAATGAGGGTGATATGATTAGGATTGGTGGCTGATTTTATATTATTGTGGTTGTGGCCGGGGAAAGGAACAATAGGATTAAGCGGGATGAATTGTGATTGCCATGAGGGGGTGAATCGAACTTCTGAAGCTATTCAAATCATACGACTCGACCTCATGACAAACAGATAATCAAACAACCAAATGATCAAACAATCAAAACCTTCAAACAACAACAGGAATGGAAATTAGCATTCGATGCCAAGGACATGAACTCACAAGTTTGGAATTATGTCGTCGAGACAAAAAAGAAGGTTTGAAGAAATGAATGTGTGGCCTGTCAAAAGGTGTAAAATGATGATAATTAACATGTTGGCGGCGGCCCGTGATCTTTATATCTTTTAGATCAACCTTCTTCATTTCAACCGGTCTACCATCCCATATCTCAAACAAACCATCTTGAGCACAAAGAGTGGCTTCCTTGGTATGCTCTCCATACTGTCTAAGCGGACGGTTCGAAGAATGGCTCATGACTGGGGAGGAAAGCTTCCGAATCCAAATAAGGGTATCTCCGTGCTTCACTCTCCCGGGAACTTAATATGGTTATTAAGTGGCAAGTGCCTCAAAATACTCTATATCGCCGCTTGTATTGGAAAGGTACAGCCGCAACCCGTCACTTGGGACAATTTGATTCGATGTCGTTGAGATAATTTAGGTTGTTCTACCCTGGTGTGTTTGCTAGTGCAACAGGGGTTCATTAATGCTCCCGTGATGAGTCGACGACAGAGAGTGTGTACACGGTTTCCAGATCAGGATGCTTGGGTAGTCCCTAGACTGTCTCATCTACTAATAGTGCCGAGAATGTGGAGGGTCAAAGATTGAGTGAGAATAGAGAAGAGTTGAAACTTGGTGTTTCTTCACGATACGCGGTTGTTGAGTCTTGATTGGTAAGATCTTGCATCGGACATTTGTTGTGGCGGCTCTTAATTTCCCAAGCTACTTTTTTACCCTACTCGAGCCTACCAAAGAGAATCTTCGAAACGAGATCAAGCTTTCAAATGCGGAACTTTTTCAAAATTTATGGGGAAGAAGAACGGACGGTTCTCATCGCATAAACGCGTCGTCGATCCTTCCCCTTCTTTGAAATATAAAAATATCAATACTCCAAGCCAGATCCATTTTCTACCTTCCGAAGTCGTACAAACACGATCCAAAATGGACATGTAATATAATTTCACCCCATCGACTGCAGTTTCAACATAGTTGCCGTGTATTGTTATGCCTACCCTGATTAATCAATCCGTGAATTGTTTCCTACGCCGAAAGGCTACCTACAGCTAAGAGGAACGAGAAACCCCATAATCATTATCTGCCCCATGCCATAGAGCATTATTTTGCAGCCCAATATATGCGCACCATTTCTTGGGTCGTTTCAATCAAAATTTTTGCTTGCGGCTTTGTTGGTTAATAATTGTCGGATGTTTCATAGGGTCTTGAAAGAGGCGCGTCTATGAAACGTGGGATGTAGCAGGATCGTTGTTTGGATGAACCGGGTTCGCACTTTTGCTCTGTTTGTGTGTTCCATGTAGTTTCGTCGCCCCTATCAATCTTCTTGGAGTTTATTCCAATATAGATGTCGCTTCACCAACATGATGACTGATTCGTTACAAGTAGAGAGTAAACTTACTTGAGGGGCGGGAATATTGTTTGATATCACGTGACTACTCGGTTCCAAAATTGGGTGGCAGCGCTCAAGTCCGGTGCTCAGGTACATTTAACCCCAAAAGAGATTTTTTGTTTTAGACGTTCTCATGACCTTTGGGGTGTCACTTTTCACCAGCCTCACCAACCTCACTCTATTTGGACTACTGGTATTCAATCGTAATAGTCTTGAACGATCAAAATCACAGGTTTGATATCATCTGTGATTAATAGGCATATTTTAGTACTCAACCTTAATAAGATGTGTGACAGGCATTTCTCTATGACGCAATATCATATGATTGTGCAGCTTGAGGACATTCTGGAAATCTAATTTCAACTTGAATAATATCAATCCATTCACTACGTTGCAATTTTGCTACAAATCTTATAATAACAACTACACAGAATATTTCTGTTGAAATAATAGCTTGGAAGTCATCAGTACCTACCTACTCAAAGAGAGTGATATGTTATAGTAAAATGAGATAGATGTACGACTATGAAGTGAATTATATATGTAAATGGGTTTTATCAAAAATCAAAATATGAACGCCTTCCAAATCAAAAGTCGGCGGCAAGAGGACAACTTCACTCAATATAGGAAATAGTATACTATAGTAAAACGATAGCGCATATGAAGCTTTTAATGTAGTAGATAGTACGTATATTAAAGAAATATAAACTCATTATTATATATATTACTTAAATGAGTATGTATAAAGATATATAGTAAAACTAAAATATAAAAACCTAAAAATAAAAAGATAATATTAAAAATTAAAACTAATTTTAATATAGCTTAGATAATGAAAAAATACCTTCAAAACGTTTAATTTCATAAAAATGATATAATAATATTGATATTTATATTTAAAGATATTAAAAAGAGTAAAATATTCGATAATATTAATGATTTATTATTAATTAATAATAATTCAATTGAATATAGAATTTAATATTATTGAAATCTAAGAATAACCTCAAATTCATATATTTCAGCTTATTCTATATAAATTAGAGATTCATATCTGTTACGGGAGCTGCCTCTAGGGTCATGTGGAAATGTCTAGAGATCTCTCGAGGTGGTTTAGATTAGACTTTAAGTAGGAATTCAATAAGGTTGTAACTGGTTGCAATTCTCGTAACTATAGTAATGAAACTAATAATTGTTCTTAAGTATGAAGCTCTGTATTATAATAAGATTCGTTCCCTTTATATAGACCTTCCTGCTCTATAGAACCCATGGTTCTGTTCTACTTGGATCCCTTGGATCCTAAGCTCCAAAAGCTCCTGGCTCCTTGGATCCTAGGCTCCAAAGGCTCCAACGTCTTATCACATGACACTTATCACGTGACCCAATGTTACCCGTCGTAACAATATCCTCGTATCTTATTAATAGTATTCAATATTATTCTAATATTGAATATCTTTAGTAATATTAAATTTCATATCATGTACATACGTATTTCGAAAAAAATCGATGCACACCACTAAACTAACCCGTATACGAATTACGGGAAATACTATTGCCTACACTGACTTCACTCACAAAGTCCACTTCCACAACAGGTCGCTTTATCCCCGGTCTAAATCAGAACGATTAATTCTTTGGTGCTAGCTCGAACCCGATCGAGAAGATTCATCGACCTCTCATCAACGAAAGCTATACCTGCTCTCATAAATATTGAATTCCCCCTTCCGTCTTCTCCAAGATATCTTAGGGCCAAGAAACTTGGATTCTCGGCATAATGTCTGAATGTTCAGGTTCCAACAAACATGAGGAAGAGCGAGACGTTCTTCTTGACTTCAATTGCAGATTCAGTGGGCTTGTTTGGATCATAATGATAGGGATCTAGATGCACAACGATCTCATCATTCCCAAGTGTCCATTCCTTCTCCTTAAATTCAGTAATCCGGTAAAACGATATTGAATCCGGTGGTTCCCTTTTGACCTGTATCGGAATAAGAACTGCTTTAACCTCAAGTTTACCTCCAAAAACGCTACCGAAAGCGTTGCTGCTGGAAAGTTGCATGTCCACAGAAATGATTTCAATGTCAGCCTTGAATTTCTTATCTTTATAATCGTATGTTATACCGCTACTGCGTGTAGAAGCCCAGCTCCAAGAAGGCACACACTTCTCACTTTCAGTATCCTCTCTGTTGGCATTTCCTGAAGACCAGAGGAGTGCCTCTGGAAGTTGACTTCTCCATAACCCGGCGCAATAATCATCTTGAGTCATCTTATGCAAGAGTTTTGCTATCCCAGATATGGCGGGTAGCTTGTCAGTCTGATACGTGAGAGAACGGCGACTATAAGTCTCGACCATAGTGTACCAATTAGAATATATGTTCTTGTAAACTTCCCTGATCGATGAGGACCGAAGCTTGACATCTAAATATATGTCAAGGAAATTTGAGAATCCTGTCCGACACTCGCATGTGCTACACTCCATGCAATCCCATAGCATCTCATCCTTTGCGAAAGACAGAGTACGTCTCGCAAGTACTTGCTCTTGCAACACCTACCTACGTCTCCTGAGCTCACTATCACGCAGTCCATGTGATTCGAGCCGCCCGTTTGCATCATGAGCACGAGTTTGGTCTTGGATTCTACGTGCATAGAGAAAGTGCTGGCGGTCATCTGCATCAAGATATGGCAATTGTAGGCTCTTGGTCCGATTTTCAAGAAAGAAACCCCGTTAGAGTCTTTTGCTTCCGTGGCGGCCAACACCAAGAATGCCGACATATATATATCGCTCATACGAGAACTCTCAATCTGCCAATCTTTTAACGAGCCTTGGATTATGCACAAAGAGTCGATCTATAGATAAGGTATCCCCAGCCCTCTGGTAATCATAATAGCGTCGAACAAAGTCTTTGGCAAGGATTCCATGGGATTCGTTTCTGGTAAACTGGCAATTTAGACAGAGTAAGCTTGATGTCTTCAAGGATTGTTGAATCTCCCCAACAATAACTGAGGGCAGCATAACGTCCGGTGACGTTCTTTGCTTCGACCAATCTGACTGATATATTTGAGGTCCCCCGACATCGATGACGCGCGTTGGAATTTTTGAGCCGCCATTATAATCTAGATTTCATTTTCGATGCTCTTCACAGTTTTTAATCCAGCTTTTCGCTTTTTGTAAGGATTCAGCCATGGAGTTCGAAATTTCATGTGCAGCGGTGATGAATGGTAATGAAAGGCCACCCATAGTCCGAAACAAGTGACGAGCGGCTGCAATTCATGTAAGCCAGCGTAAGGAGAATTAACACTTATTCTTGACCTCAACGTACATAATATAATCTCAAACGGATGCCTGTATAACTCAATAACAAATGGTTGTGCGAACTCGCTCTGTCTTATTGAATACCTCTTGATACCACCAATATCTTTCACCTGTAAGCATACACTGAAGGGCGAACCTTGGAAATGGCCTTTGCCCAATGCAGCTATAGCTTGAACTACAAGTATACAAAGACAACAACCCTCACGAGCAGTGTCAAGAACGGATTCTATCCACCGTGTCTGAGTAACCTTAAGTCTTTGAGGTTCGTTATATATCGAGCCTTCTATCCAGTATTCTTTACCTCGGTATTTTTTATTAAGGATGTTGCTACGTGTGTCGTAATCACTATTTTCCTGGAATATATTTATGTCATCGCATACATAGCAGGCCACATTGGTTCTGTAATGAGGTTGAGGGATGCTATTGACCGTCTCGACAAAGATATTAAATTTTTCGATTTGGTTGGACTCACTATCTTGGATTAATGAGCACCTTGGGTCTTTGGCACCTTCATGATGAATACTCACTATGTACAGAATGTCCACACATGAACTTATACCTTTCAGATCGAAAGATATCGGAATTGATGGGGCTGCCGGAAGAAAAATCTGGGTCTACTTTCTGATCAAGTTGAGATGCGGTACTGAGGGGAGAGGGGATTTCGCCCAACGACCCAGATTCACGTAGCTGCATTTGGTAATTTTAAACGTGGAAGAAAGACTTGCAGACGTTGCGTGGAAGATCGCTTTGCCTATCCTATTTGCGGGCGTTGAGGAATGAATATGCTGTATAAAACGACGCAGTGTATAGCTTGTAAGGCTTTGTAGTTGTCACTGTTGTGACCAAGAGATAATGGCAATATCCGGATATTGTTGATATGAACTTGAAATATTCAGAAACTCTACGGCTTATGATGATGGTAACGACGATGATGGTAGAGTATTTCATCGGAAAGAGGAAAATTATTCTCTCTTTTGTTGACCCTTCGGCACCCGCTTGCCCGACCTGCATCATGATACTGTAGGCCGGCAAATCCAATGGACTTCAACAGCTGGCTAGCGGTTATGCAACTTGATGATAATCTAACCTTCAGACATTTTCTGGAATGCATCACAGAAATAAAAGAATTGGTAGGTCTTGGTTTTGATTGAGCGACCAGCAACTAACTGGGCACTCCATTACCTTGGGATAAATTTACTGGCAGGAAGAAGCTATATCTTCACAGGTGGCTCTGATATCCTTTCACCAAATCAAACAATTGGTCTCATCTCATCATTCCATGGATTCGATGGTAACGTTAATTCATATTCAATAGGAATTAGCAACCGTAAACCACAGACCATGATTTCAGGCAATGCTGAACTGTTTTGGGGGTGATGACTGGCTATGGACAAACTGAGAACTTAGGCACATGGTTCCGTTATGTTATGTTTGTATAAACTAGATATCGAGTTGCAAGGGAGAATGGTGCAATAGTTACCTATTGTCCCTTGGTCACTAGATATTCCTCTCCAACTATGCGCCATTAGATTGTAGATGTGATATGATCTAATGTGAAAGGAAGAACATCGATATCAGCAGCCAAGACTTAGCTTGCCTTCAATAATAAGTTTGACAGTCTGGATTCTCTTCAGTGGCTGTCAATCCCATTCAGACCTAGGAATCTCAGGGAAAGGGGCCAAAAGGTCAAACATTTCCATCACCGCCACTACATGGACTAGTTTGAAGACAAATCGAAGCATCTCGAATCAAAACTTCAATCTAGCGATGATCTGATCGGTAAGAATTACCAGTATAAAGGAAATCGAAATAAAAGGAATCTTCAAGGGGTCCCTCAAACTTACTAGAAGCTTCCGAGGCACGTGATATTACCCACACGAGCCTCAGTCACCAGCCGCAATTGTGAAGCACAGTACAGAAATCGGTCAAAGTTCTTCCCCGCTGATAAGATGAGCCACACCGATAAACCCAAAATGAAATTCTAGAGGGGAAAGAAGAAATCCATAGAATCTGACGGTTTGATTGATTGAGAGAATATCCAACAATACACAAACAATAGAGAAATGTGAAGCCATGTGAATCTCATCCCTCTTCAGAAGATGTTAGTAAGATTACTAATATATACCTACTCAAACAGTGAGGAGAGAAATCGGTTGATTGCCGCCTACTGACTGTTTGCATTCAATTGAAAAAGAACTAACAGCGACCTAGCTATATAATTCTAAAAAGTTCCATATACATCACATCGTTTGTATTGCCTGGTCATGCTTTCTCATTCATTGATTGGTTGATGTAGAAGTGGCGCGTTGCTAGGTGGTCTAAAAAAGGTTAAGCGACTAGAAAGTTCCTTACAATTCTACCATTTTCTATAGCGAGCCTTTCCATAAAATCCCCAATACCCTTCAACGAAAAGTCAATTCTCTTTTTTCTTCAAACCATTCAAAGATACCCTTCCTTTCTACTTTCTGTCTATTAGACTTCTACATTACGATACACTTAACGACTTAACGAATACCATCAACTGTAAGTTACTCTCAATACTCTTCCTGTGTCGAAGCAACCCCTCGATCCACCATCCAGAAACTCTATGGAGAGCTCAGCCTTGAAAAAGGAAAGAAACCCCAGAGTGCTTCGGTCGATGACTTTTGCTCTACAAAACACACAAGAAGTTCAACAAGCTTGTAAAGCTTCATTTCCATCAAGAAATTCGTACTAATCTACCCTCTTCCTACAGCTTCTCCGTTTCTACATACACAATCACAAATATGGCTGGCGAAACTTTCGAGTTCCAAGCTGAGATCTCTCAGTTGCTCTCTCTTATTATCAACACAGTTTACTCAAACAAGGAGATCTTCTTGAGAGAACTTGTTTCCAACTGTTCCGATGCTCTCGACAAGATCCGTTATGAGGCTCTCTCAGATTCCAGCAAGCTCGACAGCGGTAAGGATCTCCGTATCGACATCATCCCAGACAAGGAGAACAAGACTCTTACCATCCGCGATACTGGTATTGGCATGACCAAGGCTGTAAGTAAACTCGTACACGAAAATTCAAAACCATGTGCTAATCAATAATTCAGGATCTCGTCAACAATCTCGGTACGATTGCACGATCTGGTACCAAGCAATTTATGGAGGCTCTCACCGCAGGTGCTGATATCTCTATGATTGGTCAATTCGGTGTTGGTTTCTACTCTGCATACCTTGTCGCTGACAGAGTCACTGTCGTCTCGAAAAACAACGATGATGAACAATACATTTGGGAATCCAGTGCTGGAGGAACCTTCACTCTTACTCAAGACTCTGAGGGTGAGCAACTCGGCCGTGGTACCAAGATCATCCTTCACTTGAAGGATGAGCAAATGGATTACTTGAACGAGTCAAAGATCAAGGAGGTCATCAAGAAGCACTCCGAGTTCATCTCATACCCAATCTACCTTCACGTCTCCAAGGAGACTGAGACCGAAGTCCCAGATGAGGAGGCTGAGGAGACCAAGGAGGAGGACGAGGAGAAGAAGGCTAAGATTGAGGAGGTCGATGATGAGGAAGAGGCCAAGAAGCCAAAGACCAAGAAGGTTAAGGAGACCAAGATTGAGGAGGAAGAACTTAACAAACAAAAGCCAATCTGGACCAGAAATCCATCCGACATCACCGCTGAGGAATACGGTTCATTCTACAAGTCCCTCTCTAACGACTGGGAAGATCACTTGGCGGTCAAGCACTTCTCCGTTGAAGGTCAACTCGAATTCCGTGCCATCCTCTTCGTTCCAAAGCGTGCTCCATTCGATCTTTTCGAGACCAAGAAGACCAAGAACAACATCAAGCTTTACGTTCGTCGTGTTTTCATCACTGATGATGCTACTGACCTCATCCCTGAGTGGTTGAGCTTCGTCAAGGGTGTTGTTGACTCTGAGGATCTCCCACTTAACTTGTCCCGTGAGACCCTTCAACAAAACAAGATCATGAAGGTCATCAAGAAGAACATCGTTAAGAAGGTTCTTGAGCTCTTCCAAGAGATCTCCGAGGACAAGGAGCAATTCGACAAGTTCTACGCTGCTTTCGCCAAGAACATCAAGCTCGGTATCCACGAGGATTCCCAAAACAGAGCTGCTCTTGCCAAGCTCCTCAGATTCAGCTCCACCAAGTCTGGTGATGACATTACCTCCCTCTCCGATTACGTCACCCGTATGCCAGAGCACCAAAAGAACCTCTACTACATCACTGGAGAGTCTCTCAAGGCTGTTCAAAAGTCACCATTCCTTGACTCCCTCAAGGCAAAGAACTTTGAGGTTCTCTTCTTGGTTGACCCCATTGATGAGTACGCCATGACTCAACTTAAGGAGTTCGAGGGTAAGAAGCTTGTTGATATCACCAAGGACTTCGACCTTGAGGAGACTGATGAGGAGAAGAAGACTCGTGAGGAAGAGGAGAAGGAATTCGAGGGTCTTGCAAAGGCTCTCAAGAACGTCCTCGGTGAGAACGTTGAGAAGGTTGTTGTCAGCCACAAGCTTGTCAACGCTCCTTGCGCTATCCGTACTGGTCAATTCGGTTGGTCCGCCAACATGGAGCGTATCATGAAGGCGCAAGCTCTCCGTGATACCTCTATGTCATCATATATGTCCTCCAAGAAGACTTTCGAAATCTCTCCAAAATCACCTATCATTAAGGAGTTGAAGAAGAAGGTCGAGGCTGATGGTGAGAACGATCGTACCGTCAAGTCAATCACTCAACTTTTGTTTGAGACTTCCCTTCTTGTCTCCGGTTTCACCATCGAGGAGCCAGCTGGATTTGCCGAGCGTATTCACAAGCTTGTTTCACTCGGATTGAATGTTGAGGAGGATGCCGAGACTACCGAAGATGCTGCTGCCACCACTGAGGCAACTTTGGATGCACCAGTTGAGAGTGCTATGGAGGAGGTTGACTAAATTTAAAAAATGGCTTGGTTTTTGCGGGATAGTGGAGTTTTAATGGTTGGTTTTTCGGTCATGCATTGAGCCTGATTACTATTTCTCTTTCGATGCTCATTTATTTTCATCCCTCATGGTCCTAATAGATACATGTGGTATAATCTTAAAAATGTACTTTGTGATGAACATTGCGCGTTAAGACAAAAAGAAAAAAGATAGCAGAATACAAAATATTTACTGTACCTTTGTGTGTTTAATTGATATAATTTTGAGCGACGATTAATTTTCTCCTTGGGCATATTTGTGTGACGATATGTTATTCTCCTTACGATCATGTACTAATGATTTTGAAAATTTCTCTCTATCACGTACAGGTGTACTCCAAAACTCCTTTTTGTGTTGGGACGCGGACCAACTCGGATTGGATATGTATGGCGTCTTGAGGTTCAAGGCGTTCCTGAAAAGTTGCACGAGGGGTTACATATGCACAACATGACATCTAGAACTACTGGGATTGTGTTTGATTTGTAGAACTGAAAACATGCTCATCATCTGCTATTTCCAGCGCATTGGGTATTATTATGATAAATGTGATCGATGTGGTGAGCACTGATGGACATCATCATCTTTGTTTCCAATAGACTGGTTTGCAACTTTGTCTCGGAGAATTTAAGGAGGGCATAATTTTAGATTGGGAAAGGACGAGATGAATAAGATGAACGAATAGGAGAGATCGAGTAAAGAATTCCTGTTGTAATTCATAGTTGGGAAGAACACAACGATGGTAAAGATGTATGAGATCTAGAGAATCGACGAATAGGAGGCATTAGGGGATTATTCTGTGAATGGGTAACCGCAGTTTGGTAAGATGGATCTCGTTTATCGAAGCCAGAATTGGGAGATGGGGATACATTATGGTCATGGGAGTTCGTCATCCCGGGGACTGAAGATGGGATAGTATGGGATGATGAGAGTCTTTCCTAACTGCATTGTAATATAATATAATATCGAATCGAATGGAGAAAATCGAAAAAGACGTCCGTCAATTGACTTTCGGAACGGCACGGCTAGGTGTAATCTTGCGCAAATAGAAGTCGTCTGTGTGTGGCAGAAATCTTTGCTGGGTAATAAGTATGATGTGCACTTGAAGAAGGTACGAGGGGTGAAGTTGTACGATCTGGGTGAACAATATGTACCTTGATGGATGGCAAAAGGAAAGTTAAGGAAATGGGGAGAGGGTATAAAATGTACGAGATTCCTTGATTTGAGGACTTGGATTTGGCTTCTCTCTTCATCACATACACATTGAGCTTTTACTTCTTTTGCTACAAGCCTTGCTTAAAAGGACAATACCTTGCAACACAATCCATTCGCTGTTTACACTTCATTGAATTTCAATCCATTACACAGTGCACACTTTCAATTCAATTCCGTTCAACACAACTCATTTCAATCTACGTTCTCAAGTGGTCACCCCCTCACCTCTCACACTTACTTACTTACTTACAACCTGCCATCTCATACATATCCAACCGCAACAATGCACCACAAACTCCTTCTAACAATTTCTCTCCTTCCCACTCTCTACGCTGCTCCCGCACCTGCACCCATCCCAGACGTAGCAAATGATAATCACTCACCCTACTACTCTCCTCCCTCCGTCTCTGTCCCTTCTCTTCCTGTCCCAGCCGTCCCATCAGTTCCTGCTGTTGGTGGTACTACTGGCGGTAGTACTGATAGTAGTGATCCACTTGGACTAGGTGGTCTCCTCGGTGGTCTCCTCGGTGGTCTTGGTCTTGGTGGTGCTGGTGGGACTGCTCCAGTTGCAAGTATCCCAGCTTTGCCTGCTCCAAGTGTGCCAGTTTTGCCGACGAGTCATTATTATCCTACACCTGTTCCCCAGGTTTCGGCTACTTTGCCGGCAGGTGGAGGAGGCCCGGTTGTTTCGGCTACAATTCCTATCGGTGGAGCAGGTCCAGTTGTTTCCGCCACGATTCCTATCGGTGGCGGTGGTATTTCGATTGGTGGTGGTGCATCTGCTTCTGCTACTATTCCTATTATATCTGCTACTCTTCCAGCTGTTGGTGGTGGCTCAGGATCAAGTGTTGGATATAATGAAGGTGGTGCCAGTGGAAGTAGCGAAAGTGGACCTGGCATATCTGTTTCGGTACCTATTCCAACCGGTGGTGTTTCAGCTGGTGTTGGAACTTCAGATGCAGTCACTGCTTCAGTTCCTGGTGCTACAATTTCTATAACTCAACCTGGTGGACCAATTGTTAGTTCTGGCCCTGCATCGAGCGGTTGTCTGGCTAAGGATATGTCGACATATTCACTTATTATTGCTTCTACAGTTCCCCAGACAACAACTAGCATCTCGTATTTCACTGTTCCAGTTGTTGAAACTATTTCTACAAATTATGTGCAGGTCATTTATTCGACAATTACTATTCCAACTACAGTTTTGAAGACTAGTCAAAGTACAGGAACTACAACAATTGTTGCTACTTCCGTCGTTACCAGTGAGTCATACCTTCCCCCCCCCCCTCCCCTCCACCCATTTATTGCCATGATTTTGTCAACGAGAAGATGAACTAACATATCATGATAGGTCTTCAAACTTCTCTCACAGCCGTCTGCCAAGGTAGTGGTTCACCTCCAGCTCCTACAGGCTCTGTACCAAGTGGATCTAGTGCCAATGGTGCCGCTAGCTCGAGTGCACCAGGTGCTACCATCAGTGTTGGACTTTCCAGTGGTGGAAGTGGAGGAAGCAGTGGATCTGGAACCCCAACAGGAAGCGGAAGTGGAAATGGGAATTATGGTGGATATTACCCTAGAATCTGATCTAACTGATCAATAGGCTAGGTCGAAGTATATGAGAAGGAATACTGTGGGTTCAAATTGCTTCTAATTTTGGTGGAGATGTTTCTGATTCATAAATTGTGGTTGATATCTTGGGACAATTTGGTGGATGGTAAAGGTATAAGGATAATTCGATTCTATACAGTTGTGGAGTGGGAAGTTCTAATTGTCGGGACTCAGCGCCGAAGATATGTTTGTGTGAATGAGATGAGTGAGATGTTTCTTCTGATGGTAGATAGTATAGTCTTATTGATTCAGATTGAGATTGATCAACTCGTATGGTTTTGAGATTTATGAATTGCTCAAGGTCAGTGAATGTCTCCGAGACTCGGGCATGTAATTTTTGTTCTGGTGTTGACGTGAAGATTGAGCTGTATATATTGGAGATCGAAAATCTGTCTTGAGTTTGCGTCTCGCAAAATGTCTTTCTTGATGCATTTTCAGCTGTATGTCTGCGCTAAGCTATACCATACTACTTTCAGTATCAGTACGTCAGACTTGTACCAGTGCAACGTTAGAAGAATCAGCGCAGTAAATTCGGATTTGTGGAGTATTGTGAAGTGAAGTTTGATTTGAGGGGGAGAGGTAAGGAAGAGGCGGAGGAGAAAAGAGGCTGTGTATGGGTATGGATACGGTATATAGCCGTATGGATGAAGTGTGGGGGTTTAGCGAGGATGGTGTGTGTAGAAGGGAGGTGAAGATTTCGGATTACTGATAGTAATACGGGTATGAGTATTCATATCCGGGTTACAGATATGGTTCCGGGTGTTCGAATTCCCAATACGGCGTCGGACATGGATATGGATACGGCTGCTTTACTTCATTGCTTGCGAGGGTACGGTTGATGGGTTTGGAGTTTCGAGTTCATAGGGGGACTGGGAGGACTGGGAGGGTCTGGCTCATGGGGTTGGGTGCTGTGCTGTAGTAGGAGGCTATCTTGTGGAATTGTACGGGCTGTGATGGAGGGATATGCGAAATGGAAAGGGGATGTATATATACGCTATGGTTATACGATTGTTGATGAGGTGGGTATGGATACCGTAATGGAGGGAGTCGCGAAATGGAAAGGGGATGTATATATATGTCATTCTCATACAGTCATTTATGAGGTGGGTATGGATGCTGGTAGCTATGAGCGTCAGCATGAGTATGAGTATGGTTATGCACAGTGATTGTGATTTTGATCTTTACGGCGAAGTGGACGTACGAATGAACACTGTGCGAAACACAGCAGTACTATACCATCACCGTATGATAGACATACATCTCCCTCACCACCACACATATATAAACTCTTGAGATTCCATCGGTCAACTCTCGTTATCTCATTTGCTCGACATTCATCTGGATAGAACATAAATCCCACGGATCAAGAACCACGAACCACATTTCACATTTCACAACTCACGAACCACGAACAACAAACCAGAAACAACAAACTACGAACCAGAAACCACAAATCATCAACCAGAAAGTTCATCAACGAGTAAAAGTAAACACCTCCTTCACAATGCCAAAGACAAAAGCAGCCTTGAAGTCCGCGCAGACAGTAAAGCAGAAGCAGAAGACGAAGTTGAAGACGGAGCAGAAGATGAAGATGACAGCCCCAGCTCAAGGAAATGCGAAACCCAAGCCCAACCCGGAAATTCCAACATCCACTCCAAATGCAAAGACAACCCGGGCCTCGAAGTTGAATGAAGAGAGAAGCTCCGACATCCGAGGTTCGAAGAAGAATGAGGAGTCAACGACGAATCCCGCTAGCTCGGATAGAGGAACCACACAAGCCAATCCCAGCCCAGAGATTACGAAACCAGTGTATCCAAGACCACTAGTTATCTGGCATAAGAAGCCAAGTAGAAAGAAAAGATCTGGAACTGCGAGTTCGAAGAAGGTTGCGGAGCCTATGCCTATGTCTAATCCAACTCCAACCCCAGCTCCAATTTCAGAGAAGAAGTCAAAGACAAATACAACCTCAGCTAGAGGAAATGCGAGGCCCCAACCCATCCCGGAGACTCCAAAGCCAGTATATCCAAGACCACTGGTAATCTGGCACAAAAAGCCAAGCAAGAAGAGAAGCTCTAAGACCACAAGTTTGAAGGAAGACGCAATATCCACATCAAATGCCACTCCAACTCCAGCTTCGAAGCAGAAGCTAAACACAAGCTCGGTTAGGAGAACTACACAACCTAGATCTAGTCCTGAGATCACAAAACCTAATTTGAAAGCAACTCCAAAAGCAAAGTCAACTCGTAACTCGAAATTGAATGTAGATACAAGATCGAAAACTGCGAATTCAAAGACAGCTGCGAGAGTTGTTATCGAGATTTCGGATTCGGATTCGGATGATGATAATGATATTGATGATGTTGATGCTGATGTGGATATTGAAGATGAGGATGAGGATGGATATATGGATGAGGATATGGATGATGATACCAATATCGATGAGATTCTGACTGCGAAAAAAGCTGCAAGAATCTTTATCGAGATTTCTGATTCGGATGAAGACGATGATTCTGATGATGATGATAATGATGGAGATGGAGATGAAGAGATTGATGTTGATACCAATACCGATGTTGATGTCGACGTCGATGTCGATGCAGATTTCGAAGAAGATATAGACGTGGATGCGAACGCAACTCCACAATCCACTTCGATCCATAGTCCAAAACCAGACGCTACTCCAGACATCATAGGATCGATACCCAATTTCACCGTTGCCCCGTCCCCTCCACATCTAGGAGATCTAGATCTTCTGTCATTGTTTTCAGAAGCCGAGCCCGAACCAGCCTCGGGATTAGAAAATCCAATCGCTGGAGATGGAGATCTAGACGCTGATGCGAATGCGGACGAAATTCCAGAATACATTCCAATGTATAGTCCAACACTAGATGCCACCTCAGATATAGGGTTGATACCCGAGATGATTACTGGCATGGCCTCTCCATATCTAGGAGATCTAGATCTGATGCCATCGGTATTAGAAGCCGAACCAGAATCAGTGTCGGGATTGGGGAATTCAATGCTAGATGCACCTTCTAATATCATGGGGTTGCTACCCAATGCCAATGCTGTTCTGGCTTCTCCATGTCAGAGAGATCCGATGCTATCGGTTCCAGAAGTAGAAATAGAACCGGCCTCGGGATTGAGAACTCAAGTCGCTGGAGATGGTTCTCATCTGGCCCCGGATTTGCAAATGGATGTGAATCGGGATGTGGAAATGGGAATAGATATGAATACAGATATGCTTATGGATGTGAGCATATCTACAGAAACTAACACAACCCCCTTCCAGACTTCCTGGGAAGGAATGTATATGGACCCGCCTCTGACAGCTGAAGAATGGGGCTTTGATTTTTCGAACATTGGGGTAGAGGAGATTGATGTTTTGTTTGGGGAGATGGAGAGGGAGAAGGATAAGGATATTAGGGGGAATGTGGATGCTGATGTGGTTGCTGATGCCCATGTGGAGATGCAGGGAGATGTGGAGATGGGCGCTGATGCGGAGATGGGGGAGAGTCAGGGAGCAAGAGTAGATTTTGAAGCACAAAACGAACAGGAGCAGGCGCAGGCGCAGGAATTGGCACAGGCACAGACGCCAACGCAAGCACCAAAGCAGAAAAAGAAACAGCAAAAGCGAAAGGCTGAAGAAGAGCAAGGTTGGGGGGGAAGATTGAGAAAAAGAACGAGGGATTAAGTGGGATGTTAAAGCCTTAGACTTTCACCCATGGAGTCGACTTATGGGAATCATGGGATCTAATCTTGCTTTCTGTGGGCGATGTGATGGGATGGGAGGGGAGGAGGAAAATAGTTATCAATCAAATCGTTTTTTTTAATCCATTTGACCATAATTAATGTTTTCATAACCTAGTGTTTATGTATGCCAAGCTGCTCACTAACGCGGACGAGGTCCCTCTTCTTTTCATGACAGGAATGATACTAGACTTGGTAGCTAAAGATGCTTCATCCAAACTTAGAGAATCCTACGTCTTTAATAATCGACGTACATGTCAACTATTGTGTGAGACAATGATGTACCTATGGCACAATTCAATTCAAGATGAAAATAAATTGAAACCTTGGAAAAAAGTACTAGCAACAATTCCATGAATTGCAACTATAAACTCCGGAGTCTTCTATCATACCATCACCAGCAAATCACAAATCAAAATATGTGCATAAATTTCGAAGAAAGCTCAACGATGTAGAAACTTAACTAATGACTATTACCATAAATCCTGGTATCTTACGCCATTTTCTGTACCAATCCACTTCCACTCCACCCCATTCCATTCATAAAGAAACTCGAATGAAATCTCAATTACAATTTGATAGGAACTTTTATCGTAAATCGTGCATCTCGCAATCAAAATGATCTAAGTTCCCACGAATAACCATCTACCCAATATCCTCAAGGTAAATAACATCCTCCAGCCATAACCAAATTCATTCTTGTAAACATGACTTTGTAAACTGGTGATCTCTTGGTAGGGAATGCAACAATTTGATCTGGAGTAATCATTGTTTCCTTACCCTTCTTCTTGGAAGAGCCAGTAGTAGGATTAGCTTGAGCACCAGTAATGGCACCCGTAACACGAGTTGCATCAGCTTGTCCACCGGTACCGATGACTTCACCATCGGTGTTCTTGTATGGATCAGAAGGAACTTCAATGTCCCATAAACGAACAGTACCATCAGCTCCACCCGAACACAAAACTGTAGATTCAACACTGAATGATAAAGACCAAATCCCACCCTTTCCATGACCTCTGCAACGTTTGATTTGTGTTCCCTTTGCAAGATCCCAAAGAATAATACTACCACCACAATCTGCAGATGCTAGAATCTTTCCATTAGGAGCGCATTGAAGAGCACTAATGGTATCGGTATGACCAGTGAAGACACGAACGCAATCACCAGTTGTGAAAGACCACATGCGAACAGTCTTATCAGCTTGATCACTTGCCGAGAAAACATATGCTCCATTTGGATGCCAAGCGATTTGATTGACATTAGAATCATGACCAATGAACATTCGAAGGTATGAAATATGATCTTGTCCCCAAATACGAACAGATCGATCATGACCGCAAGTCAAAAAGTAATGACCGAATGGTCCCCACTTTACATTCCATACTGGACCTTCATGTCCTTTATATACGACAAGGCAGGCCCATGCTTCGAGAGACCAAAGACGAACTGTTCTATCCGAGGAAGATGAGAGAAGTAATTTAGGAGCAGTAGCTGTATCATTATCATCTGCACCTCGAATCGAAGGAGAGAAGGATACTGCATAAACAGGTGCTGAATGACCGATTAAACGACGAGAGTTTGATGGTGGTGGATCATTTGGACCTGGTTTGGTTTCACTTGGCAATGGTTCGCCATGTAAATGCCAAACACGAATGTAAGATTCTTCTGTTCCAACAGCAACCAAATTATTGTCATCGGAAAATTCGATACAGTTGATTCTAGTCAAAGTTAGTATTCTGGCAGAAAACTTTTGTAAAATAACTTACGAATCAAGAGTATTGTGGAAAGTAAACATGCAAATAGAAACTGCAGGACCAACCCCACCATTACGGCTTTCGATCTTGAATCTATCACGATGCTCCTTGATCTTTTGAACTTCCATGGTTACATCTCGAGCACGAGAAGGAGGATAAGGGATTTCATTGCGGTTAGGTCCTTCAACACCTTCCTCACGCTTGATACTTTGATCAAACAATTCGACCAAGGATGGTTTGCCGAGCTCAGGTGGGTTCTTACTATCTTCCTCATCAAGATCTGCGCGAACATCTGCAGCTAATTCTTCCTCCATTGCCATCGGACCCAATAGTAATTTGGCATTATTATCTTGGATATCTTTGTTGGTAACTCCGGTAAAAGCTCCAGGGATTCCTTCTTGAAGATCAGACTCTTCCGGTTCAACACCATGTGCTTGATTGATGATAGCTTCGAAACTATATTGGTCAATGGGTCCTCGCTTTGTTTCACGAATTTCGCAGTAGGTCTGTAGCAAATAAATGATAACAGATCCTCCTTGTTTACTGTTCGATTCGAGGTGAGTGATGAGGTTGAAGTAAACATGGGTATTGAGAGGGATTCGATATTTTGAGGATAGATAAAGCTTAGTAATTGTATTATCGTTGATTTGTTGTGGCAAACTGATTGTATCAAATGTAGTGAGTTCATCGGCATGGACTTGTTGAAATTGATCTTTGAATTCATTCAAAAAAGCTTTTCCATCACTTGTATAATTATTTGTGATGAGCTCAATGAATGAATAAACAAAAGTAGGCCAAAGGAGTCTGCGCAACTCAAACTGTTGCAAAACGTATTAGAAATGTTGACAATCAATGTTGAAAGGATTCTTGCTTACTTTGTAAATATCCAAGTTAGAGTCAATCCAATTACTCAATAATCGGAAACCCTTTGCATATTTTGCTGTACCAAGGTCCTCGGCACGCTCTTGAATTGGTTTTCCATCTCTATCAAGGTTGGAAGATTCAGATCGGAGCATCTGCTCAGTTCGATTGTAACCTTTCTTGACGAGGTATTCGATAACCTTTGCTCGACAATGATCATTAGCAGCCGCTGGCGTAAAATAATGGGAATTTTCTGCAGTAGGAGCATAAGGCGATGACGTAGAAGAAAGACGAGAATAAGGAGAGCCATAAGGGCGCGGAGGATTGAAGAATATGGGAGGTATGATGAAGGTTGACCAGAATATGGTGGAATTGGGGGACGAGGAGCACCAGGTCTTGGAATACCATTATTTGAAGAGCCAGAAGGCACTGCACCGTGGGTCTGAATGGTTCCAGGACGTGGATTACCTGTTGGTAACGAATTTGAAGTGGAAGGACGTGAAAGGGAAGGACGTTGTGGGATTTTCCCAGGTGGTCCAGACATGATGACAAAAAAATCACTGCAAGAATTTTGTGACAGGGCTATGTAACAAGTTTGTGTAGAATGATCTTTGCCAAAAGAGCAAGTATTGGAAGAAATTGTAGTACGTGATTTGTTTTGTGGAAGAAGTGAATTGATAAGATTTTTATCAAAAAGCTTGCTGCTTTCGAGATGGACGTGAGAGGAGGGGAAACAGGGGAAGAAGAACGCTAAGTCGAAACAGGTATCGGGCGTTAAACCAACAGGCACTGTATTGGATTGAGAGAACCTCAACTGTGAATATAAAATTTTCCCCAGATTCCTCCCAAACAAATATTCTTGTCAATAGGAAGATCAACCATCAAAGGCATAAACACCATGTTTGGAAAACCACTGCACAGTTTCAATGCATATGGTACAGAGACTCATCTAGAATTTATTGAAGTTTCAATAAATTCATCTCTTGAAGTAACAAACTACAATCATGCAGATTGTTTTGTTTCAAGAGATGGTTCACAGCATTCAGCCTGACCACGTGACAATTTCTTGATGTTGCTGTTTACTCTGTACATTGACAAACTGTACTGTGGCCACCTGCTTCTGCACTAGCAGTTTCCTGAAAGAGCATAGCTGTTCTATTGGCAAGGGGTTGGATACATTTTTGAGACAAAGACCCGATGGTATTGATGATATCGATGGCATTGGGGACAGAAGCTTGCTGGTATCGATGATATTGATGCCAACGCTGCTAAACTCCATTGAAATTGTAGAGAAAAGAAGGGAGAACTTACGATCTGATTTAAATTTTGTTGAGACATGAGTGAGCCTGATTGGGGAGGACCTTGAGAATTTTGTTGTGTGTTTATTCCAGCACTTGGAGGTCCATTTGGTTGTCCTGAGGTAGACATGCTTATTGAGAGAGTGAAAGTCCTTCTGCGTGTGGTTGGAGCTACCTAGTACTGTAGGTATGTACCTTCTACTCGGCTACCTACCTATCCAAGCTATCCGCACCGGTGAGTATTTCTTCCTTTTATAATTTATCACCTAGGTAATACTGTGATGCCGCCAGGACTACCAATCACTTAGCATCTCCCCGAAAACCGACGAAAAAATTCACTCAAAACTCTCAGCTTTATGTTTAGGTAGGTACGTATAGTTGATTACGATTTATGGAGAAATTTGGGTGATTATTAAAGAGGAATAATTAAAAGAATTTTCATCGTTCAAGGCTGATTGCCTGGTATATTGTGGGAGGTTACTGAAGGTCAAGCTTCATCGAACAATTGGAGTGAAGTTTTGACACTAATGCAGCCGATCCGCAGAGCCGCATTATTAAGGCTGTAACCCCAGATAAAGCATCCAAGGTTCTAAGGTTAAAGTTCTGGAGATCAATCAATCTACATAATCATCCTCAAAGTACATAATTCGAAATACAAACTCATACCTCCTCAAAGTACATACCAGAATCAAACAATCATTTTAGGATTTCGACTTCCGACTTTCAATTATCATGTCTTCCTCACCAGAAGAAAATCAAACTTCAGCATTCCGACCATTTACAAAAGCTGAGCGCATCCAGCAACTCAATGAAATAGACAAGGTAAAATCCAAAACTTTTGAGTCATCCTATGACACTATCTAATCATCCATAGAGTATCTTACAACTTGTTCAAACTGCTGGGCAAACCCTTAAAATTCTTACTGCAGCACAAGAACCTGGAGAATCACAATCACCACAAGAAAAACGCCAAGCTTTCCAAGATGCCTCGAACTCTTATCTAAAAACATTACAATCCGTCGATGTACGATTACGAAGACAAATATTGGGATTGGAAGAAGCAGACATTATACCGGCAGAAAAAGTGAAGTCGAAGAATAAGGGTAAATCAATGCCTGAAGTTGTGGAAAGACGATCAGCAGTTCCAGGAAATATGGCAGGAAGTATGCCAGCAGATGATATTGTTGTGGAAAGAGGAATGGGAAACCTCGATATTGGTTTCTTGAATAGTCGAAGTGGAAGAGTTGGTAGAGATATGGAGGCAGAGTTGTGGGCAAAGAGTAGAAAGTTTCTCGAGGATTTAGATAAGGGCAATTATAATTCACGTCCATTGACACAATCGAGGGATGAGGTTGAGAAGTAAGAATGGTAGATGTGGCGTTGGAATTATATAGGAAGGACATTTTGATATATTTATATCGGAATTGATTCTTCTGCTATTCAAAACTTGGATCTCTAAAGCTGTGGTATCTTACTTACCAGCAATGATGCTTTCATGTTCATGCTTCTAATATGGTGAGCTGCTTCAAAGAAAATTAATTGTCCGATAATTACCCGCATACCAAATTCCTACCCTTTACCTTGATCGCAAGATGCAGACTCTCATACCTACCTAGGATCGTCAGACCTTCGATCAACCGTATACATGTCATACCAACACTAATACTCAAGATTTGGCGAAGAAAGATTGGGAATATCGTACATCAATTATATTGGTTGCTTTCTTGAATAGCTTTAATCCCTGTAACTTACCACGGTACATTCCGAGTCTTGTCTGTGCCGCGCGCCGATTAGATATCCATCTTGAATTCACACAAGTATCAACTCAACGTCTTTAAAAGTGCCCTTAATATCTCGTCATGGATTTGGAAGACGGGGGAGACTCACCATGGGGAGGTATGTTTCTGCCGACTGAAACTACAATTCTGGGACTCATCAGTATTGACAACTATATCAGATGTCCCTTCTCAAGCCCAATCGACACCAGGCTTACCCAAACCCGAAGAATCCGCTACAGAAGGAGGTCAGTCATCATTGTATTGAAGTAGGATTCGAATTTAACTTTACTATAAAGAAAACCCCGAATCTGCATCACAAACCCTTGCCCCGCCAGCTTCACAAGGCAAAACACATGCAGGACGTACGATACGAACCCCTCGACGCGCTGGAGCACAACCAGTTCGACTTCAAGCTTTAGATGATTCTTTGGGGCCATTAGGACCTTTGGGTGATAATGCGCCAACATCAAAAGCCGACGAGCCTCCTGCGCCACCTCAAAAAGAACAAACTGTTACACATAATCTGCGACAACCATTAGCTTCAGCGCAAAGCTTTACTATAAGTCGAAGTATGTTGGATTCACTGGATTTGAATGAGGATGTTGAATCCAGTATCGGACCTCGCATGCCACCTCCCGTTCAACCATCTCACATAGGCTCCGTTCGAAGAGAGTCAACACCTAGTGTGAGCATCGAACAAGCTGCCAAGCCTACCTTCAATATTACAGTCGGTGATCCACACAAAGTTGGAGATTTGACCAGTTCTCATATTGTGTACTCTGTCGAAACAAAGGTAGGATATATCAATTTTAAGGAAATATTGGTGTATACTAATCGTAAATTAGACATCCTCTAAAGCATATCGTCAACCGGAATTTACTGTCACTCGAAGATATAGGGACTTTTTATGGCTTTACAATTCTTTACATGCAAATAACCCCGGTGTCGTTGTACCTCCACCTCCCGAGAAGCAGGCTGTAGGAAGATTTGATACAAATTTTGTTGAATCTAGACGTGCTGCATTGGAAAGAATGCTCAATAAAACAGCTGCTCATCCAACACTTCAACATGATGGGGATTTGAAATTGTTTTTAGAGAGTGAAGCTTTTAATGTTGATGTCAAACATAAGGAACGAAAAGAACCTGGACTTGGTGAAAGCAAAGGCATGTTTAGTGGTCTTGGTATTTCTGTTGGTGGAGGAGGAAAATTTGTTGAGCATGATGATGTAAGTTCATGGTTATTCTAGAAGTTTGAAGTTGCTGACATGAGTAGTGGTTTCATGAACGACGAATCTATCTGGATGCTTTGGAGAACCAACTTAAAGCTTTGTTAAAAGCTATGGATGTTGTGGTTATCCAACGTAAGGGTCTTGCTGAAGCTGCAGGTGATTTCTCTGGTTCCCTTCGAGCACTCTCAGCTGTCGAGCTGTCTACATCATTATCCGGACCTCTTGAAAGTCTTGCAGATTTACAAATCAGAATTAGGGAACTTTATGATCGACAAGCACAACAAGATGTATTGACTTTGGGTATCACAATTGATGAATATGTTCGTTTGATTGGAAGTATCAAGCAAGCATTTGGTTCACGTCAAAAAGCATGGCACTCATGGCATGCAGCAGAGGGTGACCTACAAAAGCGTAAGACTACTCAAGAGAAATTATTACGCCAAGGGAAATCACAACAAGATCGTTTGAATCAAATGCAAGGAGAAGTGGCCGATTCCGAACGTAAAGTTCATCAAGCAAGATTATTGTTTGAGGATATGGGACGTCTTATGAAGTCTGAACTTGATAGATTTGAACGTGAAAAGGTTGAGGATTTTAAGAGTGCTGTGGAGACATTTTTAGAGAGTGCTGTGGAAGCTCAAAAGGAGGTGAGTTATTACATTTATGAGATCACAGACACCATGCTAATATTTCCAAGCTTATTGAACTTTGGGAAACTTTCCTTATGCAACTTGATGCTGAAGAAGATGACCAAGTATTTTATAAGCCCCCTGTAGAACCAGCGGCACGTCCTTCTACAGAAACTGGAATCTCAGGTGAAACTGCTACAGATTCACAAGCTGCAGCTGTAGCAACCGCCGAAGAAGAAGATTAATGAATGACACAATGATATCAGGTTTTTGAAAAGTAATTGGGTGGAGTGGAAAAAGATGAGAATGACACAATGATCAAATCATGAGGTGATTGTGGTATGCTGGTTGTAGTATTTTTGTACATAGAATAATATTTCAATTCTGAACGCCCAATCCTGATTTCTATGCATTTCTTTTTACCTCCTTGACAATGTATATGTACATGTGTACTTGGCAAGATGAGGGATGTTCTCTCGTTCATCGTACAATCCAACTTGATATGTCTGATGATCTTTGAAGCTCTGAAGGGAGAATAACATGCCCCCGACTTCAGACCAAGATATTCCCCATCCCAGTCATTATAATAATACCTCTCACTCCGCCCCTCACTCAACCCCTCAATTCAAGCCACCCATTTATTTCTTCTCCTTTCCACTCTTCGTCCTGACAGTTCCCTTCATACTAGCACTATCCCTTTGAGCTCCTCCACTAATCAAATCCATCAAACTATCCATTGAATCTCCCTTCTTACTCTCTGCCCCTCCATCAGCCTTCGCACTCTCTTCAGCCTTCGCACTCTCTTCAGCCTTCGCACTCTCTCCATCCTTTGCCAATTTTCCCTCTCCATCCGACTTCTCCGCCTCTCCATCCCATCCCCTTCCGAACCTCTCTCTGAATGCACTCAAACGTCCCGCTTCATCATTCTCAACATTCCTTAATGAATCTAAAGAGGGCTGCCATAAAGGATGATTTCGTGTATCTTTTGTACTGCGGTAAATGGGCGCTGGAGATGTGGATCGCGTGAGGTAGGTTGAGCCGTCGGATAAAGTAACGAGTTGTGTGAAGGTATATGGTCGAATAGGACGTTTTAGAAGAGTGGCATGTCGAATTTGGTGGGTGAGGGTGGAGTTTATGGGGAGGGCATTGGAGGTAATGGAGGAGGTGCGGCGGAAGGTGAGGGATGGGAGGGACATGGTTTCGACGTGATTGGACGGATGAAGATATGGCCGAATAGTATTGACGAGAGGAAGAAGCTCCTCTTGCTTAAGGTGTTGAGAGGTTTAATTGGATTCGTACACAATATCGCGTTCCTCGTCGCATTGACGAGGCTTGCATCTAGATTTGTTTTCTGATAACTTTTCTACGGTGTGCAGGATAGACCAATGACGATGTGAATATAATTTTCAGCCTTGTGGGACTTTGTGTGGATTCACAGTGCCTTGCATATCTGAATATATTTTTGACTCAATTGACGACGGAATCGGATTTGATTTTTAATCCATTGGTTTAGAAAGGGCTATAGCTTTGTAGGATTTGGGAAAGATGATATCTACTAGGAATTCGCAGAGTTTGCTTTATACAAATCAATCTTCTGTTATGGGAGGCTTTCATGAATTATTTTGGAGATGGAGTTCACTGGAAAAGACTTCTAAGAAATGTATAGTATTCTTCTCGTTTGCTTTTAATTCCTTGTATATTTCCTTTACTGATGTCCTGGGTTGAATCTTCTAGATCACACTCATTCTTCTCGACATAATGCATTTTCAAAATGTATTCATCAGCAATCAAGAAAAAGCAGCAGCTTGTCCAATCCTTCTCCTTTAAAACCAATCAGCGCCATTGAATCAACAAATACACCTATAGATACTCCATTAGAAGCCTCCAACAAGTCCCCAGTACTCAATCAACTCGCCTTAGATGTCCGTCAAGTAATGCGCCATGTACCGCATTCCGTCGTAATCCTTACCACTCCAAACCTTCATCCCAAGTCTGGAGAACCTTCAATAGCAGCAGCAGCTATGACGTTATCCTCTTTTACAACACTTACTCTCTCACCAGAACCTATCATCACGTTCAACATCAAGCGTCCTTCCCGAACACTCGATGCGCTAAAAGCATTATACCCCATCGGGTTAGCATCATCATCCGCAAAAGATACACCCGAAAGATGGTTTCACATCCACCTATTAGAAGCCAACACATCCGGTGCTCAACTTGCCAATCATTTTTCTCGTGGTGGACCTATGCTTCCCGAGGATCACAAGTTGGTGTATTCTCCCGGTGCAGTTGCAGATGTAACCACCAGAGGTATTAGACAGACGTTTCAATGTGAGATTCTGAGGAATCGTGAAAACAGTGGGTTTATTGATGTTGGGGATCATACGTTGGTTTTTGGGAAGGTGATGAAGATTGGGTTTGGAGAGGAAGTGGATAAAGTGAAGGGAAGGAAGAAAGAGTGGAGGGGCTTGTGTTATATGCAGGGGAAATATCAAATTACGATTCCTATGTTGCATGCTGATAAGAAGAAGGATGTAACTGTTTGAGTCAATGAGATTGAGGGTACTGTGTAAGGTAATGGGATCAAGGACAAGGAGAAGTTGGACGGAGGGAAATACAGAGCTTGTAGAGGACGGAATGCTAGAGAGGGACGAAAGAATTTAGTGTCATGAGCACTGATTCGTGGTATGTATAAAGAATCTCATGTCTTCACTTGTAAAGTTTGTTTTCAGGATGTATTGTGTTGTATTGTACTATCAAATCGGGTATCCACGCGCCAGAACTCCCGCAAAATCACAATAAAGTACCCAAGTAGGGCATGCCTAAAAACTACCCAACCATCCATTTAATCGTGCCATCATAAGAGTTCGTACCGCTTCGTTTGCCGCATTTGTCATTTGTCGCATGTCGCATTTGTCGCATGTCTAGTCCTAGTCTAATCGTTAGATGTCTTTCCCCACCAAATTTACTAGCAAGTGTACATACCAAAGCAGCAAGTTGCGAATCGGGTTTCTCTTAGTTGGCATTTGCCTTATCGGCAACGTGCTAGTTGATTGTTAGTCAAGATCTCTTCGGTGTTAGTACTAATCAAACACACCGTCAACAACTTAGCAGCACGATCATCTTGCTCTCCCTCCATATCATCAAGTTGGTCTCGATTGATAGAGAGTCTATCTGTGATCGAACCCTAGTTGCCATACAACTCGCGATCCAAATGAGCTAATGGGAACTTGGCGTATTGTTCGAGAACTTTTCGCCAAGTACGGCCGACCTTGAAATTTTGCATGGCCATGGTCCCTGTGTAGATAGTTGGACGTTAGTTTTTGAGTCTTGTATACTCAAGGAAACATGGAAGGAAAACTCACACTTATACTTCTCAGTATAAACACGCTTCTCCTTGGCAGTGAGCATAACCATAAATCTAGGAGCTAGAAAAACGGTTCTGGGAGGTGGGAGGGGAAGACCCTTTTCGCGACACTCGGCCCGGCGCTTTGCGGCTCGGGTCTTGTATTCCTTTTCCTTTGCCTTGTCCTTTGCCATGGTGGTTTATCTATTGAAGAAAGGGTAGTTGAAAGAGATTTGTTTTTGTTTGGGTTGGGCTGGGTGGGATGGTCGTTGATGGGTGAGGGAGGTGGTTGTTTGGAATTGAAAATTGTGGGAGGAAGTTTTGATTGATATGCTAGTTTCTTAGCGAACTACCCCTCGAGGGGGAATTAGCTTGGAAATTTTAGTGCGGTATTTTAGTGCGGGATTCTTAGTGTAGGGGTGAATTTTGTGCAGTTATTGTCTGATGTGTAGTTTAATGTGTGTGTTGTATCTGAATTTGAACTATGCAGCATCTCATCTCTTGTTATATCTAGAGGTGTTTATGGAGTTGAATTCCTGGTTTTGGGGACAATTCGACAGCTGTTTTTAGAAGAGAATTGTTCTGGATTAAGAGATTGTGCAGTTTTAAACTATCTCGTCGGGTGCAGTACTGCTAGGAAGGACTTTGTGTTGAGTCAAAAGTTGGATCTTTGAGAGTTGTTTTTGGGTATTGAAAGGCTTCGAATAGTACAATATTACTAGCTTTCAGGATCATGAATATATCTCGTCGAGAGCTGGAGTGTTAAGAGTTATACAGAACTTGTCCGTAATGTTGATCTTGAGGTGCAGTGCCTGATTTTGAAAGATCTTGAGAGGTTCTTTCTTTATAATTTTGTGCGTTTTGAATAAATCTCGGCGGGGTTTGAAGGGATCGGAATAGCTACAACTTGAGTAGAATCTAAAATTCTGGGATATAAGTTTAGATAGTGAAAGGAAGTGAAGGGTGTATGGCTCAAGGGGCTATAGATAATTATATGGGGTTCCATCGAGCTTTGTCAGGATTTAGACTATCATGGTTAGAATAGAGGCAGTTGTTTTGTTCTATAATTGCAGATATCAGAAGATTTCGGTGTACTTGTGAATAGGAATGTTGCTAGGACTTGAAATTTTATCGTCGAATGTCTTCTAGTAGTTTATTACAATAGCTAAGCTACTCTGGGAGGTACGATATCATTTTCTTGTCATGCTAAAGGTTGAGAATACTCCTGGAACAAGAAATAGTAGGGGATTGAAGCTATCTTGTGGAATATTTTGATGCCAGGATAACTAGTTGAACGGCTAAAATCAGGAGAGTGGCTGTGTTCTTGTGGATCTCAAAGAATAGTTGATATATGCATTTCATACGTATGGTCTTTGACACTGAACTATTTAATGTCCTGATTCAAGGCATTGTTATTCCTTATGAAAGAGAGCGGAATGTGAGTAGCTGTTTGTTCATATCTACAGCTGGAACTAGATCTATACGACGCCTAAAAGCCAGAGTTTGAAAGATTATGAATGCTGGTATGTAAAGTAAAGAGTGATTAGCTTCATAAATGCTTTCATGATGATTTCTCTGTATAAGCTACGAGCTTGATGCTGGCTACCAACTTCATGGTGCAAAGAATGAGAGATATGGCGAGTTGGCTGATCTCAGAGCAATGGGACCTACACACTGCAACATACCAACCGGCCAGCATATGTTTCGAACAGAGATTTATCTACGGCACTTGATGTATGAACTCCCTGATTCTCACTGAGAGACTTTTTTGCAATGTATAACAACTGCCACAACTGAGAACATGAGCAGTCACGTACCTCGTCCCCATGAGATTAAATCCAGAACCTTCGCCTCGGTTTGAATCATGAGCATAAAGCATGCCCCTGCTGTCATGTTCTTTCGAGCTAAAAAGTAACGAGTACATACCAATAGCATCTATTGTTGTTATGCACAACAATGTTGACTACGGAGCATCTCTACCACGATCCAAAAAGCAGCACCAACGTCGCTTCCGGCCAACGAAGGAAAAATAGGAGCTGGTTTATAGGCTAGAATCTGATATTAAATTTGAAGAAAGATGTTATTTGAGGTTTTAACCCTATAGTATACGGGTGGCTTTTTCAATTTCATAGACTGAAAAAAGCGCTACATCTCATGCCACTGTTTTTGCCTTTGAGGCAGCGGTCAACCACATCTCGCTCTCCTGTAATCCCTAGAACCACTTATGTGCATTCAGGTACTTCGCGAATATCTCCCTCCATTTACCTGCCTTGAACGCTGCGCCGTTAGGTAGATGAAACAGATTAGCCAAAGTCAATCCGTCTCCAGCAATGTGTTTCTGCTTAGACAAAATCCCGTCGTAGAAAGCAAGCACTGTATCGACGTCGGATTCGGCTTGTGCAGCTCTAACCTTCGTCAGGGAGACCCAGCCCTTTCATTCTACACAGTTTGCGGTTAGTTAAAACAAAAATAATAATAGAATCAACACTGCGACAAGCGGCAATGTATCCCCGGTTTGATGATAAGCTCGGTTCCTATTGTCTCAGCTGTTACAGCGAAATAGTTTTGCTCGATAGAAGAAGCCTCTTCAAAGCGAGCAAAGGCATTCTCATCGTCCTCCGGGATCAGTCTTCTCCCGGAAGGATACTTTGTAACAGAAAATATTAGAAAAACTCCTGTATATATAAATATATGATTGCAAAAAAAATTACTTGGTAAGATATCTGCAGATAGCTCTGCTTTCAAACATGAAAAACCCATCATTATCTAATATAGGCACTTTTCTAAAAGGCTGTAGCTTCTTGAAAACGTTGGTTTTCTGCTCCCCCTTTGCAATGTCAACAAAGATCAGTTCGTATGGCAGCTGCTTCTCGAGAATTGTGACCAAAACGCTGGATGTGGACATGGTAGAGCCATAAAGTTTGAGAACCATTGTCGCTACGTATAAATTGAAATAGAGTGCTGAGTGATCAATGGGAGGGGAAGAGTTCTTTAAATAAACATAAACTATTCGATACTAGCAAGATAAAACTGCGATATTTCAAATGCGGGCATTGAAGCTGTAGTGAGCACTAGACTAATAAGGTGAAATGATTTGTACTCTCGGGGTTTAGCAAGGGGACGTAGCCGCTAGTCCTTACTCATGACGATATGGAAACTTGATTTTAGGAATTTTGTGATAAGTGCAGTATAAGTACTAGGACATTGCAAGTAGCAGCATATTGTAAGCACTCAAATGAAGAGTACTCGCACCATAAAGATATGGAGGTTTTCTGTTAAAATGGAGATGACTCTAATAGTTTTTTAGTACAGTCCTTGGCAAATACAAGACGGCAAAATAGGTAACAGAAATCTTCGCTTCAGAACGCCGACAGAGTAAGTTTAATTGTCAGATCTCTCGTTGGTCATCATGCCTTCCATGGGTAACCTATTCCATGACCCTGTAACTATTGTCAGCCTAGCATTCCGCTTCCCAGGTGATGCTACTTCAACATCGAAGTTCTGGGACCTCTTAAAGATGGGAGTAGTAAGTGATCTCAGCATGGTTTAGTTTTTGGAATTGGATCTGCTTGAAATTCCACTGACGATCTCGAAGATGCTTACTCCCTGATGAAAGACCGATATAATGCGGATTCATTCTACCATTCCAATGCTAGCAGTCGGAAAAACTTCTCGGCTACTAAAGAGGGCTACTCTCTCAAACACCATCTATATGCCTTCGACGCAGCATTCTTTAATGTTACGGCAGCGGAAGTCAATTCATTCATTATAATCAACTTATCTTTATTAAAATATTTACTTAAAAAATAGAAAAGTTATTTTAAAGAAGAATTTAGTATTATATTTGTATGAACACTGATCATTAGGATCTAGTGAATAGCTTCAATTCATTAGCTACTGTATTGCAGTCTTTAGCGAATGTGGGATACAGTAGCCTCAAGCGAGAGCAGAAGAGACTAGCTCCTCTTTTAACGTCTATATAAGACCTACAACTTCCAATAACTTAGCTAGCTCTTTAGATAGAATACAATATAGACATTTAGGACCTACGAAACCGTGGGTGCTACGTCTTCCGTATCCTTCTCAAACCAACAATTTATTTCTTAGAATTCGTTAAATACGCCTCGTCTACTGTGAATTGTCTTCTACTAGTGGAGAATATATGATCAAACCCACTCAGAGTCAGACTCCGCATACCTTGAGAAGTGTTGAACTGATATAAATTGGTAGAATCACTTCCTCCACGTCTTGCATCGGCATCCGAAAATGTCTAAAACTTTAGCAACTAATGTACCTTAACACGTAGGTACTCTCTCCTGCGTCAAGAACTTTGAGCCTAATCACGAGCATTATAGGAAACATTATGTACCGGCTCGAGGGACATTAGTCTAACTCCAACCCGTGGTCGATAAACGATCGAATTTTTTGCTGAGGAGGGGTTTATAGGCTCATATCGGTGTACATAGCTGGAATGCTTGTGTGAAGAAAGGCTGAATGAATGGCCTTAAGTCATTCATAGCTAGTCCTATAGCAGGGCCTTTGTAAGGCTTGCTTCTTCCTGTGGTTAGCTAGCTCCTTAGATAAAATTCACATTGACAATCGGAAAGATATCGAGAGCTTGCTGTAAGAGTTAGTGCAAAAATGACATGCAAGTGTGAGCGGCGTCACCATTACTCTCCCATTTGTCATTTGTTCCCAGCATAATCACAGGATTGGCCTATCAATACCCCGAACAAGATTTCTACCACGTATTCACACGGTCTATGCGAATTCCCAGCTGGTGACAATATAGACGAAGCATCGTAGTCGCAACCTTACAAGTATCGTAGTCCAACCTCTAAAGTTGTGTGCTTCGGAATAATTTGAATCATTTGAATTTGATGCCGTTAAATATGACGTCTTTTTGGAACAAATAAAAACAAAACTCAACTTTTTAGTGCAGATCACTAGTTTTTAGTACATAATTTTACAATTACACAATCGTAAGATCTTACCATCGTACAATCCAATCATTTAATTGGTTCACAAAATTATTCAAATGATTTTTTTCCTAAAAAAAAAAGTTTAGTTTATATAGATTTTTAACTCTATAGACCAATCAAATGCTTAGTTTCAAAGCGATTATACGATTATATAATTATACGATTATATACGAGAGTCAGTTTCTAAAGAATACTAGCTTTCTATAAGCGAG